GAAAAGAATGAGGGCTCGTGGCATGCCCTGAAGATGAATATCGTGTTGTGCTCTGTACTCCCAGACGACTGTCCGATCCTTGAAGACGTCTTCCACCTCGCAATACTTACGAGGCCAGGATTCCGGCTGATCCACTGGACGAGGGGTTGGGCTGATATCGCCAGCGTCTTCATTAGAAAGACTTTAAAAGATATCATGGTAACTATAGAGGCTATAAATGTGCCCCTCACTTATCTACTTAGACTGGTGAGAACAAGGACCAAATTCCGCTCGACTTGTTCAATCCTCGCAAACCCACCGTTCCCATTATCGATGCCGGTGGAGAACCTCTTAAAATCAAAGGCAACAAAAGTCCCCGACCGGTTAAGCGATTTTTACTTTATAGAAGAAACTATGCGGCGGGTCTTCCAAGAAACCCGAAGCTGTTCAATGTCCGGAATTAGCTCAAGTGTCAGCAAAAACGTTAGGAAATTTTTTTTCTTGCTCGCACAAACAATGGATCGATACATGAGAGCAGTAAGCATAGTCTACAACACATGGTTGTTCTTGTTCATATTGTTAGTCTCTTTACTCATAAACCGCCAATTATATTTAATACCAGCTTGCTCTGCCTGCATTACCCATTCTGTTTAATACGGAAATTCCAGGTATCATGTGTAATGAAGATATAGATCCTTGCGCTTCAGAGTGGATCTTTGTCGGATTGTGCTTGCGAAAGTTTGTGCTATTTAAGCGGATGGCGAGAATGCGGTTATTGTATGCCGCGCTTGCGCTCTAGAAACTTCTTATATTTTTGTAATTCAAAGACGACAAATGCGGGATTGCGAGAATATTTTATAATACACGCCTATATAGAGGCTTAGTATATCAAAGCCAATGAATCATGGAAGCATGCCGGTACCCTTCATTTTCACTATAACCTAACACTTAAGATTCGCATACTTCCTACTCTTTCTAGTGGTATCATATACCGGGCTAGTAACAGATAGATATCCCATCCCGTCCTTGCATTGAAATGAAAATCAACCTCTTAATGCCTAGATGTCGCTGATTTTTTCAACTCACGACTCGGGAGCGTATCCTTGATCACGCTTTCTGGATAGTTCTGCCTGTACTTATGACTAGAGACCAAATCCCAATTTTTGCTGCATGCGCTGAGTTTTCAAAAAACGATCACATTAAACTTGGTCATTCTTTTACAGATAATTTCAGTACTAGGTAAAATTTAATCCATCTACCTTTAACGTATTCCGTTCGCAAATTTTAGAACTAAAATTGAGAACGAGAGATTGCATTCGGGATTCGGATAGAACGGGGCTAGTCCCCAACTGAGATACAACAGTAGCTAAATGCACACAGTTGGACTGGTGTAGTTGAAGTGCTCAATATATGGTAAGAAGCGTTAATTTGTTGTAATATTAAACGTTGATGCAAGTCCAATATAAACAATTGTCACGTGTTATACAGATACGTGACTATATTATTAATATCTTTCCGCCGGTGTTGTAATTCTTAGGTATCGCTGCGCATTAATTCTCAAGTACGCCTTCGACAAAATGGGGGCTCTTTGTATAAATGAAAATTTTTAGTATACGGGGTAATGGACCTTCTGTCAGCCATGCGAGTTAATGGACGCGCCGATAATTTACCTATACAATATCTGCTCTTTAAAAGAATGTCGGATACTTTCGGTGGAAATATCATATTTCTTCGGGGAGCATTTGTAAAATTTGAATATATTGTTCTTAAACAATTCACGATCAGTCTATCACAAAGACGAGCCGTTACGTTAAAATCTGGAACTTGGTTTGACGAATTTCTATTAGGCCATGGGACGAAACTCTGCGCGAACTTGAAACTTTCGTGAATTCGATTGTGAGTTTTAATTTTCCGTACGTCTTAATGACAATTGTCAACTTATTTATTACATATATACCTCGGGATACATATCATAAAGTCTATATAAAACTGGCATACTTTTTGGAAAATAGTTTCCATTTGCAGTCCAATTATAATTCCGCATGTCGGATTATACGTTGTTTTTTGCCGTTGCGCACTATTGAAAAAGAAAAAAAAAAGGCTAATGAATTCTCTGCTAAAACAATGAAATAAAAAGAAAATTTTTGACAAATCTACTCACGAAACTTGACAATCGCGTCCTCATATTCCTTATGCATTGTCACTAACTGCCTCTATATAAGTGTGAGACACATAAATAGGTTAAATTGTAAATCAGCTTCGGAATTCCAAGATAAGAGTCAACAATTGATTTCACGGTTGTTATACAAAGTAGAATTGTACCTCTTGCGTTTGCAGTGCTGCTCTATCCGCACTGAGAACGGTAGTCTCCGCCATTAAATTTTCCAGAATTTGGCTTAGATGCTCGATTCGTTCTCTAAAAGAACGAAGCTTCGTCCATATTTCTCGGGTTTTTTGTATGTCCTCTACAATGAAACAAATTGTTTAGACGGCTTAACACATAAAACCCGACTGCAAATAGATTTTCCATAACATTCCATTTCACCATTTAACTTGACTCACCCAAGTCGGTCAGAAATACCGCCCTGTTCCATCGGCAAGTGGTCACGAGCGGCAGTCTTTGCCCATACGTCGAAAATCGAACATTGTATATCGTATCGCCACAGATATATGTGAAAGATCCGAACGATCTTACGGATTCGACTATTAATTGATGGTCGATTTCTTCGGGGACGTATGCCTAGCATGGGGATTATTTATTTGAAATCAATCGCATTATATCATACTAACACTTGTATCAATGTTCAAAAACACATACCACTGCGTGAAAGTCAGCCTGAGCACAAAGTACAGTAAGAACGGGTTCTGGACCCTCAACTTGGTCCAGAAGATAGCCCTCCACGCCATACCGTCGTAACTACGCGAACAAAAACTTATAAATACATAGACTCTTCAACATACGTTATGTGAAATAAACCGAAGCAAATACAAACCTCTTGGACGGGTCGCAGCGACCTGTACTCTCCCAGAGTTTGACTGCCGCACCACACTACGTTAACGCGCAAATTTTGCGCGTCGATTACTTCCCTCATAAAGAGGTTGTAATCTTCGACGGTTTGGCAGGTGAAGGTCTAACAACCAAAAATCACTTTATTAGTAAAAAGCTTCTAGACATGTTTTAGTTATCGAGAGCGTTACATACTTTTAATAACTCTTCTCCTGCCACGGCTTCAACAAGGTCTATGTGCCTGTCTTCTTTTATTATTATTTCCATGTATACAGGCAAGAAGACAGGACATTTAAACTGGGCCTTATTCTGTTGGACCCATTGTGCCGCCGTATACATATCGGGATCGCGCTCGCGCACGAGTTTCGACCGACGGTCATATACGTTTGTGAGGGCCCTGAGCCTTGATAAAACAATGTTGAAATAACGATTAACGTTTATTTTTCTATAATTATAATTATTATTCAGAGGTTAGTCTCTCTCCTAACTCAAACTTACTCTATTGTATTCTGCGATAATAGAGCCTCTTGCTCTTCGTGAGTTTTGTGAAGGGCGTTATTGAGTGTTCGGATTTGGTTATCCGTTGAAATCTACAAATTTCAAGTTAATTAACTACCCGTCTCTCGTCAAACCAAATAATAAAAGAGAAACGTACAATATTAGCTTGAATTGTTTCTTGAAGAGTGAACATTTTCAATATTTTTCCATCTGACTGAAGTAGAAAACGCGAGTTTAAATAATAAATTTTGGACTTAATTTGTGCAATGAAAAACCGGTTGATGATAATAATAAGTATTGTTTGTTCATTTTCTATTATACCGCAATATTTGTGGTACTTAATTTTTAATTTACACATTCATTCAAAAGGATGACATTGATTCCAAGTTAGGACGCAAAATAACCATGATAATTAACTTTATAAGTTTGCGGGAAAATACATTTGAATGATAGTATCCTCAGTCGCCAACACTCTTTTGAAGATGGCCATAAGGATTTGGTGACTTATGGTTCGTAAATCAATGTTTCCCCAAGAAAGATACAATGGCGCAGTAGTTGTGTAAGTCGATTGGGAATTTTTATTAAATTTTTACTGTACCTGTTCTTTTTTAAAAAAGCAAACAATACTTTTATTATTTAGAGTAATGTAATGTAACTCGTACCGAATGTCTTAATATGTAGACAACATTAGCCAATCCTCTCAAGTCTATTGGTTACGATCAGTGTTCATCAACAATTTCCCATTGACAATGGAATGCCGTAGCAAGTGATTATGTCATCTGCAAGAGTTTAACCATTTACCATTTTCCTCGTCAACATGGTATGAATTTCTTGTCTCTCTCATTATGAGTCGATGTATCTATCAGATTGAACGAGACTTGGATAATCTATCAATTTATCAATCGGCCAAATTAACCCTTGATACAAAAAATTTTTTGAATATCGCTTCTTGATCCAATTACATGGCCATCATTTTATTGTCAGCAGAGCTATAAAATTAACGAATTTTCTCCCACATAAGTCTCCTTCTTAATCCTGATATTACTTATACGTTTTCAATTTCCATCTGTGCTGTGCCACATGTGATTCAACAAAGAACTTTTTTGAATCCATTCAATCAAGATTGTATGTAATGCCACCAAATATTAACGGCTAATACTGCGACACGCAATACATTTAGTTTTTATTATTAAATTGCATATATTTAATGAATGAGAATTATACCTATTTTGCAGAAAGCACAACGTTGCCCATTTATCGTTTCCTATTGTTCGTCTGTATTTTTTGGGGAAGCAGGTGCGTTATCAGTATCTAAATTAGAATCCTTAAATTTTTTGTGACAAATCAAGCCTTTTTTTGTACATTGAACGGACGCTTTATTATTCCATTTGTTGCTTTTCACAAGCAATTGCATTATCTGCGGATAGATAAAGTGCTTGCGATAATCATTTGTTTAACTAAGCTGAGTGTAGGGCAAACCTTGTTCAATGGCGTTTTTTTTTTTGCTTTCACAGGCACCAATGATCTAAAATAGGTCAATAAAACCTTTTACGATGGCCGAGATCTTTTTAGTCGAAGGAAGCAATGTCGTCTCAACGGCGTTATTCACGAAAAATAATGTTCTGCAACACAAAAACCTGTTACGCGGTTACACATCAGGTATAAAGTAGGGCAAATGATTAATTAGGAAAGTTGGAAAGTCCGGTCTGCATAAAAGTAGTATTGACAAACAATGCTTCATGCATGTGCTGGTGATAATTATAATATACTAATATTGCAATACGTGGTGCTTGACTTTTGGAATGTCGAGTGTGTAACAGTTGACGGTTGAGTTTTATGCCCTCTACGACATATGGTATGCCAAGTGAAGACTAAATTATAGTATAGACCACAAGAAGAAACGCAAGTCTCTTCCTGCTCATCATTTGATGTTAAAATTATATTGTCGGTTATTACGTTCGATCATTGTCTAATGCTTGGGTACGTAACGCAAACCGTGTTTTCTTCTTGACATTGTGACATATTAACATCGATGTAGCAGATTTGTTGGATAAAAAAGACAGTGGACATTTATCAATCCATGGAGATGGTAAGATTGGAATGCGTATCGCAATTCGCTAACGCAACGGTTAATATAGATCTGCTGATTATTTAACCTTTTGAAGTCTCTCTTTTTAACCATTTTCTCAATTCACGTGTGAACAATTTTGCTCAATGCAACGAACATTAGTGATTGTCTGCATATTGCGAAGCAAGGTCGAAAACTATAATTGTTGGTAATCTTGTTAATTATCGTGAGAGTCGTTACATTAAACAAGCCGCTATGATAACGCCTTAACAACTCGGAAATGGAACGTTTGTTTCTAGAATGCCAGACGGTGTTTCCTTGGCAAAGCTATTAAATAAGCCAGATAAGTTTGGTCATATACTTTAGATAGCAAACAGCATAACAGCTTATCCAGCGACTATTTCCTAATAATACTTACTCGTAGTACATAAAGCATCGCCTGGTTGGCTAGCTGCACGGAACATAAGTAAGCATTTCTCGCCACGCGGAGCATCGCATCATCATCGAAATCGACCACGGAAAATCTTGATGCCAACTGCCGTTATTTAACTAAGCAAATAACAAATAGACCAAACCATTACTTAATAAATTAAGATAACAATAATTGAGAAATAACCAATCACGGACTACACCAACCTTTTTAATTAATAACAAGCATTAGTATCAATAAAAGACTTTATATTCATCGTTTGCAGGAAAAGCAGATGCTAATGATGAGATTATACCCGTACAAGGAGCGTATCAAACGAGTTGTAATTACGTCGCCAGATCACTTTTAGTCATTCAATATTCCACAATAAGCCACTACAAGATTAATATTAAGCCTATTAATAGTATCAAAATATTATGATAAATTATCATTTGCCGGTGCTGGTCCTACTTTGCCAACTTCTTCAATGCTAATACCTGGTTGAAGCAATAATCCAGCATTCGGGAAACTATAATTCGTGTTGGTGGTATACGGAAAAAGCACTACAGATGTAAGTGTGTTACTAAACAGATACAGTATGTGGCTAACGCCCTCTTATTTTTGCCATCATCTAACAATCTAACTCTATTTTTTACTCACCGAAAAATAAAGCTCCCGTATTACATTCATTTATCTCAACGTAAAAATTGGGTTACTCCGTTGAACCTTAGACAGAATCAAGAATATTAAGATAAACATGCGTATTAGTCAATCCTTCCCTTATACCCTTTTCCAGATGTTTTCTTGACCTTTCGTATTTTCCCAAATCTCAACACCAAAGCTCTTTATTCAATACTATAACTACCTTTCTCCCGAGCTATCGATCTACACATGTGACATGTGACAAAGATCACATCCCTCAGGATTAGGTTCCTTTTGCCCTTTTATTATTTTTTTGTAGCCGCACAGCCGCAATTCATACTCTTTTGAAATTTTCATGTTTCTCTTCGTTCTATTTTCTTCTAACCGTAGGCTACCTTCCTAATGCATAATGCATCACCTTCCTCATTCGTCAGCCCGAGCTCAATTCTATATTCAACGGTCTCCCACATTCTTTTTCAGAGGTTGTACCCCGTCTCTTCTAATTTCACCTTCTATATCCTAATCCTGGCCTACGGTTTTCCATTGACACTCAAAGAAATCTTCTTCTCTTTATCTGTACAATCTCCTGTGTCTCGATTCCATGTGTCAAGAAAACGTTGGTCATGTCGGAATGGCGCTGTAGCTATTCGCGTTTTGACAGTTTCTACGCGGAATTTTCTGGTGTTAAAAGTTATGAAACGAAGAGATACGGTCAGCATATGAAAAATATTGTTAAATGAGTGACGCGCAGAGAAGTTCGATCTAATCATAATTAATACAGACATTTTCCAAACATACAATAATTCCGTTTCGATTTCCTTATTTGTAGCTCACATCACAAGGCCTGTCTGCCTGTAAATTTGTCGTTCTGTGTCTGAAATTTCGCTATTTGATCGGCCGGGCTTCTTTCATTGTAGGGAATAGATAGACGACGACAGTCCATCGCAGCTGCACCACCAAAAATAGCACCAAAAGATGATTGTTCATTGAGCAAAGGCTTGATAGTTTCATAGGCTCGCCCGGGATATAGGCTTTCCTGGTTGAGTCCGTGGCACATGCAAGTTATGCGCTACCTTCATGGATGAATCTACTTCAGCAAATCCAATGAGACCCGTCTTCAAGAAGTCGAATAAATTTTCCGTTACTATTTTTCCATAGACAATCACGGCCCAATATGTTTATTCAGTTAAAGAAGCCCGTATTCACTTACCAAATCTCTTCGACCAATTTATTGGATAAGCTTAAGGTACTCGTCAAACTATTCATGAGAATTTTGACGAAGGACGCCGATGCCATTAACCATTATTGCATGCTTCTCTTGCCTAGTATATTGTTTACTATTCCACCAGAGTTCCTGTTCAATTTATTCAATTCCATTAATATTCCTCACACCTGGCTTTATTTGGTCCACTCAATTAACTAGTACCCGTCTCCATCCTTTCTCCCATGATCACTCACCACACAAACACAATCTGCGAAAAAGCCACTCTCCTGTCGATAATCATCATTTGACCAGTTCAAGAATTATCTCCAATTGATCTAGTAAACCAGTTATGCAATTATAATATACGAGAATTTAGTTACTTACAAGGACCAGACGCCATTGTATATGACTCTTAAAAAGTCTTTTAGACTGAAATGTCGGTCGTTATAATCCTCCTAATACAATGACGATTTAGACAAATCGACCTAGGAATATCTGTTTCTCGTATAATTTCATAGCTTACCTTTGACTAACAAGTGCCCATTTACATGAATGACAGTAGAAACAGATCCTTTGACGTCTTCAATATTTCATGCTAATAATATACGTAAATCTATTAAGGAAACAGGTTATATCATTGAACGACAAAAGCTTTTTGTAAAATAAATTCGATATGATCATACAGTTCCGGGTCATGGTTACTACATGACAATCATTAATGAATGTGAAATTTATTCTTTCACGATTTCGCAACTCGTACCGTTCTCCTTGAGTTTTAGATACTAATCGAATTCTTCGATTCGCAAAGGCCAAATCTCAATGTCATCAGACTGTCCACACGTCCAAGGTCGAATGAGGAGAAAATATTGAGAAATAATTGTACGATTAGAGGTGATGCAACATAAGTGATCAATATTAGTTGAAGATAACGTTACATAAAAAAGCGCGCAAAAGATCCAGCCTGGAAGAAATACTTTCGCTTTTTTTTTATATCTTGTCTAGAAAGAAACATCTTAATAAACATTATATACCCAAACTCTCTCTTTCGTACTCATCATACAGATCAATCACAATTACCTTTCCATATGTTGGAGGCATGTGCTTTTGATATATCAGAAAGTTGATTTTTTGGGTCCGCCCACAGTGCCGTGAGAGTGAGATTAGATCAAAAAATATCACGTGTTAACATTGGTTGCACAACATATTTTATAATCCATTATTATTATTATTCATTCTTGATGGAGTATAACCTACTGTGCTAATGACTGCGGAGCACGTCGTAAAAAGGAAACAAGCAGAGTCTATTACAAGGCTAGCGTAATTTATATTAGGATGCATTAGAAACTTTTCAGATAATGATCGCTTTGTGTAAATAATGCAATAGTAAGTTTATTAGAAATATTCAAACTTTACAACTAAAATGTATTTTTTTGCTTTAAAGAAAACTTTTGAAAGATACAGTTCCAATAATTTAGAAATAATATTATTATTACAATTTAAAATTTTCATTATGAGTTAAAATATCAGGTTGAATATTAATTAATTTATGAAAATTACATATTTTTCCACCACAAAGTATGAGCTATTGCATCAGCCGTTGGCTTTTGCAACCCCCCCCGAATCTTTCTCCCATTCTCTCCCAGTCAACTACCTCTCCATCTTCTTCTTTTACCGTTGCTGCTCTTGGTCTCCCATGCAAAAATTTTAATAACACGTATGCTTTCAAATTTGCAAAAAAATTTTGCCCGTCTCCGTTGTAACTTCATTTAACACCCGAGTTACAGGCTGTGGTTCGTCCGGACCCTGGCGAGCAGCTAGTCCATTTGGTCCAATTACATACGATAGCCGTCGACGTATAACGGTTGCTCGGTAAAGCGGAGGCAATGTGCATAAGGCAGAGAGAGGATAAAGCGTCATAAAGCCAACTTGATTGCTTGAAATTTTATGTGGGATTGTGTAATATTAGGCAACGGCGTCTTTGGTCTTGTTTAGCGACTTTGACGGTGAATCTCGAGAGGCGCCTTTTATAAGAAAATTTTTGTGAGTATACGGTACGTCTTCTGTTCATATACCGTTTAATCTATTAATTACCTGTATATAAATTACTCAAGATGGACAATGTCAGTCTCTATTTTCGGCCCTCAATGGTACGAAATATTCGGTCACTTATTGTAGTCTTAAGTTCTGCATATTTATAAGGCGGCGTAGATAGATCCGTTGGTTTAACTTATTTAGGGAGGAAAAAAAAAAAAAAAAAAAAAAAAAAAAAAAAAAAAAAAAAAAAAAAAGGAGAAGAAAAGAAGGGAGTCAAAGTTTAATCCTGTCAAATGTGACACCGGTCAATGAGTAATCAATGTCGCTCCGTATTGTAACATGCAGAGACAGATGGGAACATGCCAAAATGGTCAAACAAGAACTTTGCAATGAGATACGATCGATTAAGTGGTTTAAGCGATTACTAAACGATATATGACGTCTAAAAGAATATTTGTGGTAATATAGTGGAATACATCCTGTATTGATTAGATTTGAGATTGTACCTAACAAGAGCACGAGATATAATTATAGTGGTTAATGACAATGTTTAAAATAAGAAGATCACAGTGTTTGCTACACATTACGGAATTAATTATTAGGAAAAAAGGTACTTCATAATACTAAAATAACTTTGTTATCCCGACATACATCAGATGTCAGCCTAATATGTGCAGACAACTTGATCAAAGTTATACTTTGCTTGGCTTGAAATACTAATACAGGAATTAATGAATATCCTAATACGTACTTTTATTTTACACACTTTGTTGTGGAAATGTCAGAAAAACCCAACTTACCATTTCGATGAGTTACAAAATTTTATTGCTCAAGTTTACAATTTTAATTTAAAATTAAAATTTATCTAAAGCTAATAATTACTTTAAATTTAGAGCGCTCTTACTTTCCAAAAATTGAAACATTACTTTATGTAGAATTAATATAGTTGGTTCATAAATGATAATTTAGTGTGTTATTAAAATAGATTAATAATAGTGTGTTTGATAGATCAGAATGTCGACATAGGAACTCAGGTCTATTCTTAGGCTTATTCTTCATACAAGCATTAGATAGTTTGCAATGCTCTGACATTTTAAGAAATTACCTTATTGTAAGGTTTAAAATATTATGTAAACTACTTGTAAAGCATTCAGAGAATTGCAATGTTTTATTCGTAATGGCTTAAATTTGCAAAATTGGTTTTGATACCAATTGTTACTAAAAAAATAAAACTTGTGCAAAGTTTGACTATTAATTACTCAGACAAAGGCAATATAAATTTATTAATGTGTCTGAGTCTGGGCTAACATATTGAGTAACTGTTTATGGTTTTGTGCAGTTAAATAAAAAACGGCTAAACGGGTTTAATTTCTACACTTTAAAAGAGGGAGAAATGAAATACAAAATTTTTTTCAGTCGGACAACGAAAAATAAACTTTATTATCAGGATCAAAACTTTAGTAATAATAATAGTGAATGTAGAAATAACTTTTCTAAAAAAATAATTGCACGAAAAATAGTTTTACATATTCGTTATAAAAAGCGAGTTTAGTACTAAATTAAAGCATACTTGATAATCTATACAAATAATTCTACAAGGTAGACGGGTAAAATTACAAGCTTATTATAACTTTTCAACGATGCACTATAATGAAATAGATTATATCAAAAACCAAGAAATTTATAGTCATAACAGGCATGCTTAAAGTAACAGCATTTTTGACTGTAAAACTGTATGCATGTTATACAATACGTATTTCATATGTGTTTTATTTTTCAAATCTACGGCTTTTTTGGGGGGAGTTTAAAAATCTTGAGCGGCTGATTTTTGTCAATTTAATAGTAATAGTTTACATCTATGGTAATTTTTTAACGTATTAGTATAATTTTGGATATCAAAATTATAAATGGGTTTAATACAATTTTTAATTAGTTAAAACTTTAATTTTGCCAAATTAATTTTTTTTACCCATTATTCTACGGTCATTTATTAATGAGCTGTTCGACCAATGCATCGCTGTCAGATTTAATGTTTATCTTTATGGAAAAAGCAAAGGAAATTCTGTTACAATAGCTGAAGTTTAAGCATTGAATTATGTGCTTGTAATATAAACATACTTTTTAAACAGTGTATAGTGATGGTACAAAATAAGTAGAAAATAATGTCAAACAGACATATTATTAACAAGTTATGACAATATAAAAAGCTGTAACTTAATATAATATTATTCTGGGAAAATTGTATAAAAAAATTAATAACATTAAGTAATTTAGACTGATAATAGCTAACGATATGCGCAAAAGTACAGTAGTCGAAACGTTGCATATAGTAAAAAAAAATTATTCAGAGAAATGTGTAAGCAGGCTGCAATATCAAACGGTATTTGGCGTATATAATAAAAGAATATTAGTAACGTACTGAAAAATTTGCTAGACATCTGTAATACGAAATCTTTGAACAAAAAGTAACTTATGAAATTGATAATAATAACAATACTAATGAATATTTGAAAGTCTTTATCTCAATTCTTTTACAAAATACTGATAATATATATTTATACTTGGGTGCAACGTATACATATATATTATTACTATAAACATCGCAATAAATCAAACAGATACATAAATTGGATCAACATGCCATAAAAAAATCTTTATTGTAAAAAAATCTTTATTTATTTGATAATTTTTTATAATAAAATATATTATATAAATATATTTGTCAAATTAAAGGTACAGATATCTTATGACTCCCATACATTTTCCCATCCCATCTCATCTGACGCCTGCAAAGTTCCCCTGACCAGTTCCATTCTCAT